CATGGCCATAGCTTGCATGGCATGATGACATTTTACAGGATCAGGACCCTGACACACTGATATCTAATCAATATGGCCAGTCACACTGGAAACATGCAGTGCACCCTGCATGCCCTGTACATAGACTGGACAGTGTAGGCTAAACTGCATTTCGCATCATGCCGAGCGATGGCGAGCCTAGACACCGTATAGACTCATCAATAGTACCTCAGAATACCCTACTAAACTAACGTTAGAGACATGAGAGAAGGGGTGTAAAAAAAACTGAAATGCCGCGGACTCCAAGAGCTCTTCTTCAGATAAATATTCGGGCTCAAATTGGTAACCAAGCACAACACCGTCTTGCCAAACATGACATACATCTTCACTGTTATCGGAAATGTTTATAGAGTCCAGACTACCGTCAAAAGACGAACTTGAAAAACTAACAACACTGGATGATGAAGAACACGCCATAGCCATAATAAACAACACTGACACTAACACAACTCATGACGTCATCGCAAATAATTCCAAGAGATGGCGCTGCGAACAGTATTTTAATGTGTAAATTAGCAGACGACGCATATTTCGGTAAAAAATGCTTCAAAACTATATTTTTAGAAAAAAAAAATTGCAACAAGTTGCTTTTGAAAAAGTAGTGTCTCAGCAATGAAAAAATGCAAAGTTGTGCACAAGCTTGGTGGTTACCCTTTAAAAAAGGAAAAGAAAAGAAGACGCATCGTAGTAGCATTACTGCCATTATTATCATTATCACTATCATATATTATCATTACTATTATTATCATCATTACTGCTATAATAATAATAATAATAATAATTACTACTGCTATTACAACTATTATCATCATTACAATTACTTTTATAACCATTATCATCACCATTTTAGCACCGCAAATTTTCATATAAAAAAAATGAAAAAAAAAATCAGCACCATTCCCCAAGAATCACAGACAATATATCACGATCGAGAGCTATCCCTTATTCTAACCCCATAGGCAGGAGAACTTACTTCGCTGGAACCCCATATGTTTGAAACACAACCCCCCTAACCTATATTTTCTCACCCTCCCCCCCCAAAAAAAAAAAAAAAATCTTGAACCCCTAAAATAGAACTAATCTTATGGCAAGGTATATTTATTTATTTTTAGTTACACACACACACACACACACACATACACACATATATATATACATATGTATATATATGCAGTTTCCATGGTGATGGTGACGCTTTTTCGGTGCAATTTAGTTCGCAAAGAAAACTTAATTACTGTTGACTGCTTAAATTCGGTTGTTGCTCAGAGTTGAAAAGTGGCGTTACAATATTTGGTTATTCATTATTTCATGATTATCAATGTTATCATTATTATTATCATCATTACTATTACTACTACCATTATAGTTATTATCATCAGTATCATCGCATTATCATGAGTAGTAGTATTATCATTTTCATCATCATTAGTATTATTATTATTATTGTCATTTTCATAATTTTCTTTATCATTTTCATCCTCATCGTTGCTTTCACTATCATCCTTACTATTGCCAATCTATATTTTTTGTGGGAACTCCTTACCCCACAACTGCAGATATCAAAACAAATACAAACCCCTCTACCACTCACTAGCTTTCCCCGAGGAGCAAAGAAGTTTACCTCTGCATATCATCTTCATATAAACATAAAACTACAATATTTCAATCCACAACATAAAGGATAAAGAGTCCTATAGATTCCACCGGTTTTCAGAGTTCATATGCTGTCAAGAGGTTCTCGTGTTTTGTCTTGATTAAAAGACAAAAATATCGTGTTTTAGTCTCTCGTGATATTCACACCTCTCCTTATAAAGGTAATAAAATAATATGAAATAATAATGATAATACAATGACATTAATATTATAATTATTATTGTTTTTGTTGTTGTTGTTGTTGTTGTTGTTGTTGTTGTTGTTGTTGTTGTTATTATTATCATTATCATTATCATTATCATTACGGTGACAGATCCTCATGGTCCCCGCTGCACCACGGCGGCAAGTTATTATAATCATTATTATCATTACTATTAACTGGTCGCCGTGGTGCAGCGGTAACGCTGAGTGTCGGTCACCAGCGCACGAGTTCGAATCCTATCCCAATGAGTTCGTGATGTAACACCGAATCATCACAGTGATAGCAATAACAACCAATACCAACAATAATAATTATATAAACCAATGATTGAATAAAAATAAAAAAATAAAAAATACTGCTCTTACTTACGCGACCAACGGTATAGGCTCATAAAACAAAATCTCCGTTACTCTTCCATCGGTTACTCATGGAAACAAAAAGTTAAAAGCAAACATGAGCACCAGGGGGAGAACAAGAACGGATTGGGACAAAGGAAAAGGTGTTTTTGTTTTGTTTTGGTAAAATACATAATGTGAATTGTATCAATAGTTAGATGATTTTACATGGATAATAATTTTACAACATAGATAATAATCTTACAACATGGATAATAATTTTGCAAAATGAAAATTGATTTGACAATATAAGCGTTAATCTTACATTATAAATCTTGATTAAAAAAAAAAATAATAATAATCTTATTATATAAATCATGAGTTTACAATAGGAATCTCGATTTTACATTATGAATCTTAACTTTACAATATGAAACTTAATTTATATAATGAATCTTAAAATGCGTTATAAATCTTGGTTTCACAATTTGAATCTTAATATCACAACTTGAATTGTGATTGACTATATGAATCTTACTTTTACAATATCAATCTCATCAACATTTAAAAAACAGAAGTCAGAACTAAATTTTTTTTCTTAGAGAGTAGAAAACGGTTCACAGCCAACAGGAAACACTAAAAATATCTCGACACAATAACGCAACGGATTAAAACGGTACTGAACATGTATATGGGACTAGAACTTTGGTATCCAACAACGAATAACGTTATTCTTTCATTTTAATTTTGTATTTATTATATTTGCTTATTATCATTATAATTACTATTTCTATTTTTTTTTTTGGGGGGGGAGGGTCGAGGTCGGAAAATTTTTGAGTTTTTGAGGATATGGAGAAAAAAAAATATTATTCAGCTTTTTATTATCGCTAATCATTATTATTTCCCCATTTTTTTATCCATCTATTTATGTTATTCCTGAAAAAAAGGATTTTACGGATATAGAAAAAAAGAAATTGAATGATCTTTTTCTTTCACTTTTCCTCCATATCACTAACTCATTTCTCACGCCTTGCCCCATAAGCCTTTTTAATTTACATATCTAAACCACCTTTATACTTTTTGGGGGGTTTTACTCCGGCAACCCCTTGATATATGACGATAATAAGCATCTTCACCCAGACCAGTCAGCTAGATATTCTGCTGAGTCATCATAACGGAAAAAATTGTCATAAAACATTGTCTAGTCCTACCTTTTGGAGCGTAAAGGTTTTTTTCACTACGGAAACTTGTTGATGTTCAATAGCGATGGTGATGATGAGGGGGGCTGGTGGTGGTAGTGGTGGTGGTGGTGGTGATGGTAGTGATGGTGGTGATGGTGATGGTGATGATGATGATGATGATGATGATGATGATGATGATGATGATGATGGTGATGATGATGTTGGTGATTGTGATGATGGCGGCGATGACGAAGGTGATGATGACAAAAAAAACTACACTTACAAGCACGTATTGTGCCTAATTTTATTTGTTTGCGTGTGTGTGTGTGCGTTTGCGTGTGTTTGTGTGTGTGCGTGTGCGTGTATGTACGTGCAAGTGCGTGTAAGTACTTCACCTCTCCCCTCCAACCCCCATCGATCATTCCATTCCCATCCCTCCGTCCCTCCGTCCCTCCGTCCCTCCTCCCTCCTGTATACTGTTTTCAACACGACCCGCGTTGGGGAACAAACAGCTAACGGGTTACCTGATCGCTTAACGGAAACTCGACTCACTATAAAAGCAATTACTTGTGAACTCCACTACTCCAAGAGTTTCTTTATTACTTTTATTTTTATTATTTTTTTTTACTTTTTTTAAAGAAAGGATACGTAGATGGAAGGATGTAACACGAAAACGTCTATATACAACAACATAAACATATATATACATACCGGTAAACTGCTCGAATGCTGCATCATTGTGGTTTCCGAGTCACTATTCTACGACCATTGATGACTGTGTATTCCGTCGGTCTTACGGAATAATAACGGGAGTGGAGAAGCGAGCGTGAAGTGATAAATAGTCGGCGAAGGGATGAATGAGTAACAGTGGAAGAGATGTAATGCAATAACGTAACTAATAACAAGACTTGGAAGAGGTAAATGCAAAATGAAAATAGTACAAGAAAAGAAAAACCTACGAGAGAGAGAGAGAGAGAGAGAGAAAGAGAGAGAGTGAGGATAAATAAAAAATATAACAGGAAATCGCAAAATAAAGACAATACAACAAAAAAAACTCGTTACCACTTAGGGAAAAGAGATATGGGAGGAGGGAAAAGAAAGAAGGGAGAGAAAAATGAGATGGGAGAAGGCTCGGAAAGGTGGTTCAATGTTCGTTTAATCGTTATATAATTTTACCATTAAACGCGGACTTACGGTGAGAAAAAAAAAATTGCCAAGTATTATTTTTATTTCGAGTTATGCACGCGTATGCATATACCTAATAATTAATATAGAATTTTTATTTACTGTTGATTTAATTTCATACTATAGGACAATGCTTAAATATTAGTACATGTGATAATAAATCATACAATAGTAATACCATTACACACGGCTACAATATTAACATTTTAAAATATTTATAAGCACGTAATCACACTTAAATCTCCCAACGAAGAAAACAATAAACACATAAACCACGTATAAACTTGTGTATCTTCACGAAAGAGCAAGTAGGTAAGTTCAACACAGAAAACCAAGGACTGAACTGTTCAAACATCTGCTACGGGCCCTCCCTTTGAGTATGAGCTACCAGATGCCGCCAGATCTGTTACGTTGCTATTTTTCCATCGTCACCTTTCCCTTTGTAATATTTATTTATATGTATTATCTTTTCTTTTCTTCTTCTTCTTATCAGATGGTGATAATTCTTATTATTTATATGGGTTTTGGTGGTTATAACAGCGGTAATGAAAATATAAATTTCCTTGTTTGTTGTGTCACTGTTATTGTTGTCTGTAATATTACTATCAACATTGTTAACAATATCCTTATAAATATAGCTGTAATTTATATCATAATTATTGTTCTTACTACTCTTATCGAATCTAATGTCATCTGCAATATTTTCATTGATATTAACAGAACTATAAACAGTATTAGTGATTTGATTATTAACTTTCATCAAGACAAATTGTTACCGAATATCAAAATTTTACACAGCTCATCAAAAAAAAAAAAAAAAAAAGATCTCTTATCATTATTATTATTGTAATTATTCCTTTTTTTGTTATATTTATTATGATTACCATTGGTGTGACGATATTGTCATTAATATCATTGTTGTTATAATCTCCATCTGTTAATTGCTATTGTTATTTCATTTCGTTATTATCATCATTATCATTATTATATTACCCCAAAATCAATCATTATTTCTGTAACCACGAACACTGACCTTACTATTATCTTACTATTTATTACTCATGACTTCACAGTATTAACATCATTGTCATTATTTTCAACTCGCTGAATCTATGGAAAGAGATGTGATGGTATTTGTAGAAAAATCTTTTGAAGACACTTGGACCTCACCTGTCTGACATCTCTGCATGACCTTTTGTTTAGGACGTTTAGGATGTTTAAAAGCTGGGAGAGAGAGAGAGAGAGAGAGAGAGAGAGAGAGAGAGAGAGAGAGAGAGAGAGAGAGAGAGAGAGAGAGAGAGAGAGACTGGTCATGCGAGAAAGTATTCGGTGGGATACCTTGGTGAGTGATCAATGATTATTTGTGTTAATCAGGACACCCCGGGACACAATGTTTAAAAGATGGCACTCACGCTGACTCAAATGCAGAGAGAGAGAGAGAGAGAGAGAGAAAGAGAGAGAGAGAGAGAGTTAGAGAGAGAGAGAGAGAGAGAGAGGAGAGAGACAAACTGATTAATGTGAGCAGATAGTCTGTGTGAAACTGACTAGTACGGTCCTGACTAATGCACTCTGTCCTATTCGTGACTTGTGATCAGTGAATACATTTTAATTTCAAAACCATACTTGGAATCTCGCCTTCAGCAGAGGTAACCCTGCAGTATTAATGTTCGAAAATTGCATGTCACTGATGATCATTTTAGCACTAGGAAATGTGGAACAATAGTAACAACGTTAACAATAAGTGCGAGAGTAACAATTGTTATAATCAATACACCTATCATAGTAATCTTTTTCATCATTATCATCGTTAACATTACACAGCGTTTTTTTATCATATCAGTTACGTGTCTTTTTTGTGGGGGGGAGGGGATTAGGATGTATATTAGTAAATCAATATATGCTACATTAAGTAATTTATTGTACTTTATATTCCTTCATGTATACAAACAGGCAACATTTACATTTATCAGGTGATTTATATATATATATATATATATATATATATATATATATATATATATATATATATATATATATATATATATATGTACTATAATATGTCATATAATATTACCTTATATCATAAGTGTGTGGATATATTCATATATGTATATATACATAAAAGTATATATGTGTGTGTATATATAAAGCATATACATGTATGTGTACATATTCATGTATATAGACAGACAAGTAGCTAGATGATACATATATGTGCATATGTGTGTGTGTGTGTGTGTGTGTGTGTGTGTGTGTGTGTGTGTGTGTGTGTGTGTGTGTGTGTGTGTGTGTGTTGTGTGTGTGTGTGTGCGTGTGTTTGCGATTCCGTGCCGTTGCGCGTGTCTGCGTGTAGCAAATATTAATATCAAAGTACTTCAACTACATAAAGCAATGTATCATTGCCCTATTCTCAGACAGTATAAACAATAACAGATTTTAACAGACATAAATTATCCTCTAACATTAATGGGCATCATGATAACAGTTGTAATTAACTAAAACCCTGTAAATGTATTTGATTTGTGCAATATTGCTATTTCATTAAGAGTGAAGGAGGGAGGGAGGTGTGTGTGTGTGTGTGTGTGTGTGTGTGTGTGTGTGTGTGTGTGTGTGTGTGTGTGTGTGTGTGTGTGTGTGTGTGTGTGTGTGTGTGGTGTGTGTGTGTGTGTGTGTGTGTGTGTGTGTGTGTGTGTGTGTGTGTGTGTGTGTGTGTGTGTGTGTGTGTGGGTGTGTGTGTGTGGTGTGTGTGTGTGGTGTGTGTGTGTGTGGTGTGTGTGTGTGTGTGTGTGTGTGTGTGTGTGTGTGTGTGTGTGTGTGTGTGTGTGTGTGTGTGTGTGTGTGTGTGTGTGTGTGTGTGTGCATTCGAGCGTGGACTTACACACATGTAATATTTTCTTCTGTTTTCATGCTAATGTTTTCTCATGTATATTTATTCTATCCTCTTTATTTATAAGTTAATTTATAAGTTTATTTATCATTTTTTTTTTCTTCTATACAAACGTGTGATAATGTTTTGATATTAATTCTTAGTCTTTTTCTCAATAATATTTTGAATTATGTTGCATTTTGCTTTGATCTTTTTTATTATGTTTTTTCTCTGTCTCTGTCTTCATACTAACCCCTCCCTCCTTCAGCTGAAAATGTGTTCTCAAAATCCTGCGTTTTCTAAGGTGTGTATGTCAGCTTATGCATGCACAGGCGCCTAGTCAACGGGAGGGAACACCAGGATCTCAACCCGAGATAAAATCCATCCATCCATAACCACATCTATAAAATGTAAATAATAAAAAAAACAAATATAACACAGCCGTAAAAATAAATAATGATAATAACACCACCACCTCACTCCTTTCTTTAAATATTATCACCACTAAATTCTCCACTTTCTCCCCCCTCCCCCCCAAGAAAAGGAAAAAAAGAAAAAAAAATGTATCCCCCACCCAAGAAAAAAAAATGAAAAAAAGAGAAAAGAAATGGACAAAAATAAACCTCTACACTTGACAGATTTTAGCCTCCTCCTGCTCGACACCTCCGCCTATAAGACGCTCGCAAGTCTGAAGCTCCTCCACATGCTTCGGTTGGTAATCCTGGTCTGCCGGCGGTCCTGGGTGGAGGAGGCGATGACGGAGCGCATTCCGTGAGCAATACTCCGACCACAGGGATTTGAACCTTTCCTGGCCAGGCCCCCAGTCGTCGGAGGGTCTGAGGCCGGTGGAGAGGCGCTGAGGGAGACAGGTGTGAGACTGGAGGTTGGAGGGAATGGGTGGGTGGGATATGCGAGAGGGAGGGAGGCAGAAATATACGCGGGAACGATAGTGTATAGAAGTGTGTGTGCATATACATACATAGACATACATATACATACACACACACACACACACACACACATATATATATGTGTGTGTGTGTGTGTGTGTGTGTGTGTGTGTGTTTTGTGTGTGTATAAATATTATATATATAATATATGATATATATATTATGTATTCATATGCATGCATGTTTAACACACACACACATACATACATACATATATATATATATATATATATATATATATATATATATATATATATATATATATATATATATATATACATATATATATATATATATCTATATATATATATATATATATATATATATATATATATATATATATATATGTATATATGCATATATGTATATATATATATATATATATATATATATATATATATATATATATATACATATATATATATATATATATATATATATATATATATATATATATATATGTATATATGCATATATATATATATATATATATATATATATATATATATATATATATATATATATATGTATATATATATATATATATGTATATATATATATATATATATATATATATATATATATATACATATATACGTGTGTGTGTGTGTGTGTGTCCGTGTATATTGATATCCAAAATTTTTAAAACCACAGGGCTTAAAATATAGTGTAACAGTAATTAATGTAATTCTCACAAGAAACTTATCCTAGACCATACTTGACCGAATAAGATATTAGCATGTATACATATACATGAATATGAATTTACATATGTGTGTATAATGAATATAAAGTCTGCATATAAACACATAAATACTTATATAACGATAGTATGATTTTTTTTACTTATTCAAATTTTTTACATACAATTATGGGTGATGACGATTGATTATCCATTAAGATATATACTAAATAACTGATGACTTGGGTTCATATTTCAGCATCATATATCTAATTTGACTTTTTTTGTTTGTTTATCATCTCATAGTCCAAGCTCCAAGTTGACCCATTTCCGTTACGCGTCAGTCTACAAGAATAAGTTGATTTTTTATGATAAGGGTATTCTTTAATAACCTAATTCGTTTGGAGGAAGTCTTTTATTTTTTCCCCTGAGAGAACGGGAAACATATTTTATTTTCTCCCTTTGGACTACCTTTGCGAAGAATCAACATTGCATTTTCTACTTTCATATGTACAGATTGACTTTCTTTCGTTCATAAATGTGGTATCTGTTCTACTGTACTTCAAGCATATTTTTTTCTGCAATACTTATTCATAAAAGATACCTTTATCACTTCTTAATCGAATAATAGAATATATATATATATGTGTGTGTGTGTGTGTGTGTGTGTGTGTGTGTGTGTGTGTGTGTGTGTGTGTGTGTGTGTGTGTGTGTGAGTGAGTGTGAGTGTGAGTGTGAGTGTGAGTGTGAGTGTGAGTGTGAGTGTGAGTGTGAGTGTGAGTGTGAGTGTGAGTGTGAGTGTGAGTGTGTGTGTGTGTGTGTGTAGATTTTATATATCTGTAAATTACTATCATTTTGGAATCAGTCTACCATTATGCGATATCACAATGCCATCTATTGCCACATAATGGTATTCTCTCTCTCCATTCTTAGTTGCCATTGCCACCTTCCCTGAGTAGACGGTGAAAATATGGTTCGTTGTCATGTCTATCTCACCTTTAAGACCCAGCATTGTCTACAGTTGTGTAAGTGCCCTCGGTGACATAGCCCTTTACATTATATTATGCGCTAAGCCTCGTGATCTCAGTTGGTTACCCTCTTTATGAATGGTTCTACGTCCCGTCCTGTTGTGTATACGTGGACTATGTTTGTCGCTTCCTATATATTACAGACTCTTCTCGTATATTCCACTGCGTATAGATCATTTTTCCTTCCTATAGAATAACCCGTGTTTTTTCTTTGTCACCCTTTACAATCGAGACTAAGATTATGGGATATTTCCGCCCAGTAATTTCTCTATATATGAATTTCCGAAATGAAGCGAGAATTTCCTTAAGTCTACCCTTTCATTCTTTTGATATAAAGAAAATGGAATGCCTTAACTGAATTATCCATTTTCTTTGATGTGAAGAAGGTAGACTAAAGTATATCCTCTTCCGATTACCGAATGGAGAGGAAGGATAAGATGAGAAGAGAAAGTTTGATAAAATTAACAACGAGAGATACAGATACCTAGAGAGCATAATCAGAAATGAGAGCCGAAGCTTAAAATTGGCTTTGTGCATTTTACTATGTTGTCTTCAAAACACACACACACACACACACACACACACACACACACACACACACACACACACACACACACACACACACACACACACACACACACACACACACACACTCCACACACGCGCGCACACACACACACACACACACACACACACACACACACACACACACACACACACACACACACACACACACACACACACACACACACACACACATCCTTCATACACACACACACACACCCTCCACGCACACACACACACACCCTCCACACACACACACACACACACACACACACACACACACACACACACACACACACACACACACACACACACACACACACTCCCTCCACACACACACACACACACACACACACACACACACACACACACACACACACACACACACACACACACACACACACACACACACACACACACACACACACACCCTCCTTCCACACACACACACCACCTACCTTATGAAACGACCCCGCACTTCCACAGACGAGGAAGGACAGGGCATATAAGGGAGCTGTTAACATGGACGTCGCGGCGATGACCCAACCAAGTGCCTGAGCCCAAGCGGGGAATTCGACCCCTCTGTAGCTCACGGGAGAACTCCGGGCGAAGATGTTGACGAAGATGAACTGTTAAGGGAAGGGGTGAAGGTGAGGGAAGGGGGTGAATGTGAGGGAAGGGGGGTGAAGATGAGGGAAGGGGGGTGAAGGTGAGGGAAGGGGGTGAATGTGAGGGAAGGGGGGTGAAGGTGAGGGAGGGGGTGAAGGTGAGGGAAGGGGTGAAGGTGAGGGAAGGGGATGAGGAAGAGGAGGGAGGGGGTGAAGGTGAGGGAAGGGGGGGTGAAGGTGAGGGAAGGGGGTGAAGGTGAGGGGGTAGGGAAGAAGAGGGAGGGGAGGAGAGGAGGAGGAAGGAGGGATGAAGTCAAGAGATGGAAAGGGAAGAGGAGGAGGGAGGAAGAGAAAGATGTGGGGTAGAAGGAGAGGGAGTGGAGGGGAAGGCAAAAGGAGCATGAGGAAGGGAAGAGAAGGGAGAAAAGGGAAGGAGGAGGAGGGAAAAGGGGGAAACAGAAGGGAACGAAATAAAGGGTAGGAGAGGGCAAAGAAGAGAAAGGATAAGAGAGAGGGTAAGGTTTAAGGTTAATAGAGAATCATAACGCTAATATATATTCATATATTGGGGTATAACAATAATATATAGACACGGCAGTAATATACAGGTAGAATAACAGAGAAGAGAGAGAGAGAGAGAGAGAGAGAGAGAGAGAGAGAGAGAGAGAGAGAGAGAGAGAAAGAGAGAGAGAGAGAGAGAGAGAGAGAGAGAGAGAGAGAGAGAGAGAGAGAGAGAGAGAGAGAGAGAGAGAGAGAGACCTTTAAAAATCCGTCAGATTGTAAGTTAAGCTCTAAAAAAAAAACATAAAATCCTATTAGATTTGACAAGAAAATTCGCTGGTTACTCTTGCGAATTTACCAAACTTTTCCTGGCTAGACTAACATAAAAATTCGCTAGATTTAGCATCAGCCCATCTGTCCGTCCGTCCGTCCGTGTTTACATATATGTGCACTTCAGAGACACACTAAAAAGAATACATATACTTACTGCCAACACAGATGGTGTAACTGCCAACCAAGTTATATACCAGAAGTAAGGTACAACTTTTCCTGTCATCATTTGTATATCTCTGATCAGACGACCAACACCTGTGGGGAAAAAAATGAAATGTGAGGCTCAGTGATTATCAATAGTTGTTGTATGATGATAAGAAGTGATAAAAACAACATGGAGGATGGTAATAGTGATAAATAAAGTTGATTTTGT